TTCACCATGTTGGCCAGGCTGGTCTTGAACTCCTGACCTCAGGTGATCCACCCGCCTTGGCCTCCCAAAGTGCTGGGATTACAGGCGTGAGCCACCAGGCCCTGACCATTTAACTTTCTAGCTTAATTTTGCTATGGTCAGAGAACATCGTTCCTGTTATATCTGGTCTTTGAAATTTGTCAATACTTGCTTAATGGCCGATACATGATTCGCTTTTGTAAATTAAATGTCTCAAATTTGCTTAGGAAGAATGTATAGTCTCTGATTTATGGACGCAAAATTCTGTATACGTCCACTGATCAAACTTGTGAAGTGTGTATTCAGATCTGATTTCTTTTGTCTGCTTAAGTTCTCAGTAGCTGATAGAGACTTGTCAAGCTCTTCCATAAGATCAGGGTGGATTTCTCTCATTCTCCCTATTTCTCCTATACATTTTGAGGCTATTGATACTAGGTGTTTAAAATTCTGATATCTTCTTGATGAGTTAAACTTTTTGTCATTTTGTAGTGACCCTTTTGGTCCCTGCTGCTGTTGACCTTGTCAGGTATTCACGTGGCTGCATCAGCTTTCTTTTGGTTAATATTTGCCCACTTGTGATTTTTCCATCCCTTGGCTTCCAGTCTTCCCTGTGTTGTCATGCTTTAGATGATCTCTTTTAGATGCACATAGCTAGGTGGCGGTGGTTTTTAATTGAATCTGAAAACTGCGTATCTTTTTTTTTTTTTTTTGAGATGGAGTCTTGCTCAGTTGCCCAGGCTGGAGTGCAGTGGCCTGATCTCAGCTCACTGCAAGCTCCGCCTCCCAGGTTTATGCCATTCTCCTGCCTCAGCCTCCGGAGTAGCTGGGACTACTGGCGCCCGCCACCTCGCCCGGCTCGTTTTTTTTGTATTTTTTAGTAGAGATGGGGTTTCACCGTGTTAGCCAGGATGGTCTCGATCTCCTGACCTCGTGATCTGCCCGTCTTAATAGAGCCTTTAGTCCATTGTTATTGGTATATTTGGACTTGTTTTCACCATCTGACTGCGGATAACCATTTGTCCTGTCTTTTGTGTGTCCTCTTTCTCTCTCCAAATATAAACTTTATATTCAATTTCTATTCTTTTCAGTGATCACATATTGGGTATTCTTATTTAACTTAAAAAAAATTAAAGTTGAACACTATCTTTACTCCCCTCCTGTAAAATAGAAGGACTTTTGAGCACCTTAGCTTCACTCTCCTGCCTGACATGCACACACTCACACATATGTGTATATGTGTGTGTATGTATATATGTACATCCACACATAAATACTTTTGACCTTCATAAATCCCTCTTCTCAGATAATACTATTGTTGTGTTGTTTTTGTTGTTTTATATTGCCCATGTTTGTTTGACATAACTACATATTGGCCATTTTATATGTCTGTCATATTAGTGTCTCAGACTTACTAGAATCATTTTCCTCTTCCATGAAGTACTTACTGTAGAAATTCTTTTAGAGCAGACTTCTTGGTGGTGAACTCCCTGTTTTTGTTTATACATGTTTTTGTTTCATCCTTGTTCTTGGACAGTAGTGTTGAGGGACATGCAATTCTGTGTGGTGGTCATTTTCCTCAAATGATTATAGCCATTATGCCACCATCTGCTGGCTTCCATTGAGCTGTTGAAAAAGCTGTTGTTTTAACGGTGGGTCCTTTGTAGGGGACCTTTTTTTTTTTTTCTTCTCTAGTTTCTTTCAGGTTCTTTGTCTTCGATTTTCTACGGTTTTACTGTTAGATGTGGTTTATTGGAATCTTTCTGCTTGAGATATATAGTGTTTCTTGGATCTATGAAGTCTTTTTAAAAATTTATTTTGGAAAATATTCAACCATTAACTCTTTAAATAATTCCTTTTTAGTCTCTCCACTTTCCCCTCTGGAACTCTAATCAGAGGATGTTAGAAATTCTCATTGTCTCCACATTTTTTAACCATCTCTCTTTCATATTTTCTATCTCCTTACCTCTCTCTGTTGCGTAATGCCTAAAGTTTTTGCAAAGATTATCCAGTTCACCTTTTTTTAAAAAAAGTATCTTCATTGTTGATAGTTTCTTGCTGCATGTTCATGTATGCCTTCTTTTTAAATTGTATTCTTATTCTTTAAATATTTCATACACAGCTGTTCTATTTTCTATATCTGACGATTGAAACATGCTCAGTCTTTGGGGGTCTAATTCTGTCATTTATTACTTCTGTTGACTCTCACTCAAATGGTTTGTCACCTTAGTGTTTTGTGAGCTTATGCGTGATTTTAATTTGTAGGAATACTCCAGGCTTAACTTGTGGAAACCTCCTGCAAAAAGGGCTTGCTTCTGCCTCTGCTGGTGAGATGGGGGCGGGACTTCTGTCCCAGGACCCAGACAACCTTCCTTGAGTGTTCTGGGTTGAAAGCAAAGCTGTAGACCCTGTTCTTGTGATCCCCCAAAACCATGTTCTCCCAGCTTAGGGCACCCCAACTCTGCCATGCTGCCTGTGGGGCCAGATGATGTCCTGCTAATGTGGCTTCTATAGCTTGTCTTCTGCCTGACTCTCAGGCTCCATGGCCCTGGCTCCCAGATGTGGCCGTCTTGGCCTCAGGCATTCCTGCCTTGGACTCTGGCTGCCAGGGCTATGGGGACCACCTCCTCCATGCAGTCCAGGCTCAGCTCTTGTTGTTTGTGTTTGTTTACCTCATGCCTCACTTACCTTTTGTGAAACCATCGGAATCCCCACTGGGCGTGGTGGCTCATGCCTGTAATCCCAGCACTTTGGGAGGTCAAGGTGGGTAGATCAGACCAGCCTGACCAACATGGTGAAACCCAGTCTCTACTAAAAATACAAAAAATTAGCTGGGTGTGGTGGTGTGCACCTGTAGTCTCAGCTACTCGGGAGGCTGAGACAAAAGAATTGTTTGAACCCAGGAGACGGAGGTTGCAGTGAGCCAAGATCACACCATTGTACTCTGGCCTGGGCAACAGAGTGAGACTTTGTCTCAAAAAAAAAAAGAGCGGGGGGAGGCGTGGGGCGCTGAGCGTGGTGGCTCATGCCTGTAATCCCAGCACTTTGGGAGGCCAGGTGGGCAGATCACAAGGTCAGGAGACTGAGACCAGCCTGGCCAACATGGTGAAACCCCATCTACTAAAATACAAAAAATTAGCTGAGCGTGGTGGTGCACACCTATAGTCCCAGGAGGCTGAGGCAGGGGAATCGCTTGAACCTGGGAGGCAGAGGTTGCAGTGAGCCAAAATTGGGCCACTGCCCTCCAGCCTGGTGATACAGCAAGACTCCGTCTCAAAAAAAAGAAAAAATCATCAGGATCCCCAGGAGTGTTCCCTCTCTGGAGTCCAGTTGTTTCAGAGGAAGGGCATCATGAGTGACCAGGGTCCAAGTTATTTTATTTTTCAGTAGGATTGGAATTTTGGTAACACAAAACCCTGTTATGTTTGGAGGAAACAAGTTCCTCAAAGCTCATTGCTTTTTCCTCTGTTCCCAGCTCCGCTCTGCATTGGATAAAACAGAAGAGCTCGAGGTGAGCAACGGCCACTTAGTGAAGCGTCTGGAAAAAATGAAAGCAAATCGGAGTGCACTGTTGTCCCAGCAGTAAATTCCAGCTCTGAACAGGCAACTGGTTGGTGACTGGAGAGCATTGTTTCATAGGCTTTTCTCTGTCCTGTCTGGGAGCGCTGCTTCTTCCCCTGCCTTCTGAGAGAAGACGACCGTGGCAAGCTTAGCACTTAGGGGCTCCCGTGCCATGGCTCACCCGAGGAAGCCCCAGCAGCCACCAGGTGCCTCTGTGTGCAGACCCCTGGCCCGGGCTGGGGCCGACGCTCAGAACCTGCAGGTACTTCATAAGCACATGGGGGCCTCGAGGGAGCTCTGTGTCTGACCGCACAGCAGCCTCTGAATGCCACTGGAAATGGTGATCAAAGTAAAGATTCAGTTGGGACTTGAGTTCTTTTTTTTTTCATGTGTCTTGCTGAAGATTAAGGGGAAATATTACAGTGTTGGGACTTCCTTTCATGGCAGAATCTACAATTTGAGCGACTTCAGTAGTATCTCTTAGTCTACGCTTTTCATAACACAAAAACACTGTGGAACCACAAGCCATTACCAAGCAAAACTCTTTCACTGGAAACAAGGGGGCAGTCTAGTAGTAAAAGTGACCTTAAGAAGACTCTTTACAGGCAACAAATGAAGATTTTCTAAGGGATTTTTGCATCAGTTCAGTCATAGGAATACTTTTTTCCAGGGTAATTAGGCAAAGCTTCACTGAAAATGACAGCTTTTCATTTGCATTATTTAATCCTTATATTTGGAATTGAAGTTGTTAACTTCTTTTAAAGAATGTACTATTAGAAAAATTAAAAGCGAAATGTTGAGAGACTTCAGCAATGTGGTTTTAATTTTTTTCCACTGAGAAAGAAGATCTTTAATTTCATATTAACGGTTCTGTATATTTTGGGTCTTTTTTTTATTTTTTAAGAATATCAAATCAATTCATTTTTCTTTCCCTATTTTTTAAAAAAAGGTGTTTTCACAGAATGAGTGCACTTAAAAAGTGAAGTGAAGAAGGAGGTAACAGTAGAGATGATGGCGATATCATCAAGGACAAGAGTAAAAACGTTTAGCTACCTGCTGATTTTTAGTGACTGTTCATATATGTTGTATTTCAAATATGGCTGGTGAAGCCAGCCAGCTTTTCCGGACATTATCAAGTGGAAACCACATCAGTATCATATCTAGTCTTAACGCACGGAGAATGCTGGAGTGAGGGTTGTGAGTTCAGGGTGTATAATTAAGAAAACACTCCCAGAGTAATGCTAGGAGTCACCAGCGTCCATCCCCCAGAACTGTATGGATCCAGGATATACACAGCTGCGTTCCATTAAGAAAGAGATGCAATCTCTATTAAAATACACAGATTTTTGTATCTCCTTGTGCAGAGAATATTTGCCACTGCCCATTGGGAGGCAGACAAGTTATAGGAGGCTGGGGGCCAACACTGGCAAGTAGGAAACCAAGGGTAAGGACAGGTAAGCAAAACGTGCTGGCAGGTGGGCACCACAGGGAGACCCACACTGCACACCCAGGCTCTGTATGAACAGGAAGGAGGAAGGAAGCTGGACGAAGCCCCTCGGGGACCCTGTCCTGACCATGCTGGGCCCACCAGCAAAGGGGAGATGTTCAGTTCATTGTCCCATCCTTCAGGTTTCTTCCACAACATCTGAATACAAACGTGTTTAACCGGGAAAATGTCTATGTCACTCACGAATAACACCAGTAGCAAACACTCGCACAGCACGCAGACATGCTCGGCAGCATGCTGACGCTTTTAGGTATTTTTCACTCGTAATTTTCACATATTTCCACTCATTTCATTTGCACAGAAATTCTATGAGGTAGATGCTGTTATTAAATCCACATTACAGATGAGGGAACCAGGGTCCAGGAAGGTGAACTGGCCAGAAGTCTCCCAGCTGGTAAGTACAGGGCTGCAAGGCATCGATTCCCAGGTGTCTCACTGCCCTGAGAAGATGGCGTTTTCCCTATCAGTGGCTCTGAGGAAGTCAAGCCTTCAGTCTCTACCTTTCCCACCAATTCTTTTGGAAACAGCAAACCAATGTTACACACACTTCCTAATCCAGAGGAAGCTAGAACACGATTTTTAAGTTTATTTAGTAGAATAAAATTTTTTTTTTGCAGATGTAGCTAATGGAAATTGTTGCTGGCTTTTTTCATCCTTGCAACCTAGCATTTCTCAGCCTCAGGACGACAGTCGTCTGGAGCTGGGTCGTTCTTGGTGGCTGGGGTGGCTGTCCCCTGCACCGTGGGCTTTTCCCAACACCCAGGAGGCGGAGGTTGCAGTGAGCCAAGATCACGCCATTGCACTCCAGCCAGTGACAGAGCAAGACTCTGTCTCAAAAAAAAAAAAAGAAAAAAAAAAAGATTTTTTGGTATTCTATTTAATTTTATGAAATAGTAACACAGATCAAGTATTTATGATGAAAACTTTGCCTGAATTGAAATATGCTGTAAATATAAAATATATACTGACTTGAAAATTTGCTATTAAAAAAAACATAAAATATCTTATTAACAATTTTTAAATGTGTATTACATGGCAAAACGATAATTTAGATATATTGGGTTAAATACAGTGTATTGTTAAAATGAATTTCATCTGTTTATTTTTTTAAATATAGGTATTAGAAAATTTAAAATTACATATATGGCTCATATTATGTTTCTATTGGACAGTGCTGCTCTAGACATTCAAATGGCCAGGACTTTTTCATCCTCAGGTGTTAGCTTAAATGTCACTCTGTGAAGCCTTTCTTAACCAGACGGCTAAAGCAGCAAATTCCCCAAACGTACACACTCTTGACCACACGTACCTTAGCTCGCTCTCTATCCCACTAGCTGCTTTCAACTTTTTTCGTAGTACCTTTCATTATCCAAAATCCAGCCTGGGCAACGGAGTGAGACTGCCTCAATAAAATACAATAAAATTCCAATCTTTCAACAATTCCTGTCCCCTTTCTTGATGTGTTTTTCTCACCTTAGCGCTGTCTAACATACAATAAATTTTTCTTTACTGCCTCTCGTCCCCTGCTGGAACGGAAGCTCCATGGTCGATGGTAGGGAACTGAGTGTGGAACTCAGGGAATAGAACCAGGTTGGAGATGTAGATTAGGAGTCGCCAGCAAAGACGCAACTTTCAAATCTTGAGACTAGACTTTCTTAGGGGGAGGGTGTAACTAAGTAGAGGGCACAGGAAGCACCTAGAACAATCTAAAAGGGATTAGAGGAGGAGAGGCCAGGAAAGGGGACTCAGGATAATGGCAAAGGGTTACATACTAAGAGATGCAAAAGGCAATAGAGAGTGTAAAAATACAAAACCAGTGCAGCTTACAAAGCCAAGGTTTCTGACATAAACTGAACTCAGTGCCTCCCTCCCACCTGCCCCCACAAGCATGCTCCTCTTCCCCAGATCCTCAGTAATACAAGTGCACCTTCATTCACGCCACCAGCCTGGTCAGAAGCCTCAGTGTTCTGTTGGCCCTTTCCTCTCCCTCATCGCCCCTCCACTCTCTGTCCTTTTCCCATTACCATCGCCAATGCCCCTGGACCAGGCCATCATCATTAGCAACCCGTCCTCCCTGGTCTTCCCAGTTTCAATCTTGTTCACACTTCCAACCCATGAAACTCACTTGTAAAAAACCTGATTATGTCACTACCCCCTTTCCAACTATAATCATTTTTGTTCTTTGCAATAACTCATTGAAGTGGGTACTCTTATACCTCCATTTTATAAAAGAGGAGACTAAAAAAATTAGCTGGGCAGGTGGCACACACTACTTGGGAGGCTGAGGCAGGAGGATGGTTTGAGCCCAGGGGTTAGAGGTTACAGCAAGCAATGATTACCACTGTACTCCAGACTGGACAGAGCAAGACCTGTCTCTTATACACATCTAGATGTGTATAAGAGACAGGAGCAAGACCTCAGTAGGTGTTTGCGGAATAAGAAATTCTAACGGCTCCTGAATAGAGAGGTTAAAAATGTCTAAAGGCATCACAGTCCATGTGGGAGAGCAGCTCCATGGTTTCTCTCTATAGATAGCTCCTCGAAAACGCCCACAGTGAGGCTCTGTGAGAAACAGGATTATAGGAGATTTCTATTTTCTTTTTCACCCTTTTCTGCATTTTCTACATTAAACACATGTGACTTTAATAACGTTAAAATATTTCAAAGTGATAAGGAAAAAATTAAGTGTAAAAAATCAAATCATAAAAGGCACAAATCAAAGTTATTGCGTGACTGGGCATGGTGGCTCACGTCTGTAATCCCAGCACTTTGGGAGGCCAAAGCAGGCAGAT